TGAGTAAAAGCACAGTTTCTTTTCTTGACTTGATAAATACCTTCATACTGGAGCCAGTTGTCCTTACCAACTGATTTTAATTACTCCTTTACTTTGGGTTCATGTGGCAGGCACTCAAAAATCTGGGATGTGAAAAAATACAAAACATAAAACATTGAAAAATGAAAAAGGGCTGCTTGGAATGATAATAATGTGGTCTTGTAGAGATGGTGTAATAATCTGCCTGATTTCTCTAGAGAAAGTAGTTTTCAATCCCTCTTTACTTTATTGGAATGAAAGTGAATTTCTTCAGATTCTTATGTAATTACTTGCTTTGTCTAATCTCCTTTCAAGTCAACAACAGAATAACAGAGTTGGAAGGGACCTTGGAGATCTTCTAGTCCAACACCCTGAACAAGCAGGAGACCATCTACCATTCCAGACAAATGGCTGTCCAAGTCTCTTCTTAAAAGCCTTCAGTGATGGAGCACCCACAGCTTCTGAAGGCAAGCTGTTCCACTAGTTAATTGTTCTCACTGTTAGGAAATTTCTCCTTAGTTGTAGGTTGCTTCTCTCCTTGATTAGTTTCTTGTCTTGCCTTCTGGTGCTTTGGAAAATAGGTTGACCCCCTCTTCTGTGTGGCAACCCCTCAAAATTCACTGGACTATGTTATAAGTAGAATAGCTTTCAGTGTCCAACACAGGTAAAAGATGCTAGCTTGTAGAAGGCCTAACTCTTGAAATAAAGCTGAAACTTCAAACATCTACATTTTATAACTGCTCATTACTTGGCCTTCAAAAAGCAGAGGAAGCAGAATTCAAGAAGAACCAACCACTTCAAAATGTATTGCATGCTTCCATTAAAATTGACCTTGTATGTTTGATTTGTGATTTTGTGCCAATCCAAGTTATTACTCCAGATCTCAGTTACGAATGAAAGAATAAAACAAGAGAGGATCCAACCCCATCTGCAAATAGAACCACTATCCCTTTCATTGTAAACTTTATCTATATTAGAGCAATAAACACATTCTTGTTGAACTTTCTAATTGTCTGTCTCAATTACTACTGAAGACAGTAAATCAAAGGAGTCAGATTGAGGAACTTAACTTGGATCTGGCCAATTTTACACTCTAATACTGTTTATCCCTATTTATATCAATCGCCTTAGTGATTTTGCAGGTGAAAAGGTCATATTTAGGTACAACCTTCCAACTCACATTAACTTTCCATCTGAGCAATTGTTGTCAAATAAAGTAGCATCAGAATTGTCAGCTTCTTATTCCCTGTGTGATCTGTCTCCTACCAAATCTGTATAGCTAGGCAGGTTCCTTTTTGACTTGATATATTTGCAGATCTCTGCATATCAAACCTCTGTTTAAGTAGAAACAATAACAGGGACAATTTATTTGTATGATGAAGTGGCACCCAACATAGTACAATGTCATTCCTAAGATTTCTAAATTTTGAGAAAGGATTAAGTTTGTAGACAATATAGATAGTCCTTGACTCATTTTTCAAACTCAAGTTTGTTCAAGAAGACTCTCCCTAGAGGAACACTGCAACTACTCAAACTGTACATTAGTCAATAACTAGCATAAGGAACATGGTATGTGTTATGTAATTTGGACCCATAATGGATTCAGACCCTGTCAACACTTCTTTGTTACTTTTATAAATTATATGTTTGGTATTTTTGTTGACATGTGACTCTATGTTCTTCTTAAGAAAAGCAATACACAATAGCCATGCAAAGAAAAATTGTTTTGTGTCCTTGTAACGTTTGGAACATTTTTCTGTTCCAGTTTGCTTTTAAGTTTTGAAAGTATGAAAGATAAGCAGTGGCATGTATTTGAACAAATCCTTTACAAAAAAGAAGTGATTAAAAATTGTGGTGTATTCTTAGCTTTCTTCACATATGTCAACAACTTGGAGGTCAAGATCTAAGGATTACAATGAACTTGTGTGTGCAAACAAGTGATAATTGAGGGCATTTTTCTCCTCTATAAACGTAGCATGGATGTTTAGTTTTACAATTTCCAATTTTCTAAAGGCCTGCACTTGTAATTTGCTTTGACAATGAGAAGAACAGTAGAAGATTTTCAAGTAATTGTTGCCTTTCCCCCCCCCAAAGTTCAAAATCTTTTAAAAATATGTTTCACAGTCCTCAGGTTCGGAGGGGGGGAACTATCCTTGTGATTATTTCCACCAAAACCTTCAGTACCTATCCATCTGTTGTGATAGACTAGACAATTTTTTGCAACAATCCTATGCAATGCATTCTGGCTGGGAATTATGGAACTTAAAAGACAGCACATCCAGAAGACACCAAGCTGTGGGTGACAGACAAAGCCACAATTTCCTCAGAACTAGGCCTCAGACAGTGTTCTAGCACTAATCTTTGTTTAATGCATAGACTTCTGCAGTTTAAATAGCATGATTATTTTCCTTGGCAATCTTGTCATTCACCTCCAGCCAACTTTTAAAGTCAGAATTGCATAATGTAATCTCTTTGATTCTGAGGCATGATAGGTGCTTCCTTGGGTTAATTAAGCTTTTGTTTTTTCCATTATCAGTTCAGGATCTTAGAATCTATGGGATGAAAGCCTTCCCCTTTTAAGGGATTTTACTTCAGCACTCTTACACATATGTGGGATTATCCTACTAAATGTATTAGAGTGTGCTTCTAAGGACAGATCCATAGTATTATACCGGAAGGATATAATTTTACAGGTTCTTACTTGGAAGATGACAATGAGTTTTGTGTATTTTAAAGACCTGCAAGTCTGTTATGCCAGAAGTGACTTTTCAAATGACGTCTGACTTTAATTCTGAGTTGAGAAACAGATGAGAATTGTCATATAAGAACTAAAACAGGTATACTCCCGAGAACAAAGAAAAACCCCATCAAATCTCATGTATGATGTGGCCTTACCCACTTAATTTATCTGTGGTATTTATATCCCACTTTTATTTATGTTCAGGAACTCAAAGTAACATAGTGTTTCCTTCTATTTTTCCCCAAATAATCCTGTGAAATAGATTGTGCTGAGAAACAGTTAACTAGCCCAAATCACCAACCGTGGCTGTGGATAAATCCCGATTTTCTCTATGCCAAACAACTTAATCAATAGCCCATACTGGGGGTCTTTTTGCAGTCTCTCTTCCCAAGAGCTCACCCACATAGATTAAGTGTTTGCCCATGCCTCACCTAAGTTTGATAATGCTTGAAACGGTATTTCATGCCACACACTAGTTTAGTTTAGCACTCGTTCTGCGAAGTACGACTGTTGGAATTCTCTCTTCCACAACATCATAAACAGTGCAAAAAGTCTAACTTGTTTAGAAAAAGCAAGTGGCAAGGATCTCACTATCAAATAAACGGGCACAAGTATTGACTTCCACGCGTTCAGCCACAATAAGCATAGGATAACCATAGCACAATCATAGGAAAAAACACCTTGCGCCTTTCAAACAGCTTAATTCTCCTGTCAGAAAGGAAGAGAATTAAATTAAAAAAGTCTGCCCATCAGATTTATCAGCACATCTTTTAAAAGAGAGCCCTCATCTAATCAGCTTGGGGGGGGGGAGAAGATTAATTGGCAAGATTGTAGTAGCTGAAGAAATGGTATCACTCCTGCTGTACAACCCATAAGTTCTCAGTGTCCTACAAAATAAAAAGGGAAGGAATTTCTCAAAAAAAACCCCACACCTAATTATTTCTTCAATGTGATTTTTTTAAAAAAAATAAATAAATCTTTTTTTTTTATCATCAGAAAGCCCCTGATCCTGTTTTTCCAGATTGGCTTGCAAAAGACTGCTAGAGGCCCTTATGCCTGCCAAAGGAACACCAGAAAAACTATTTGCCCAGCTGTTTGCCTTTTTCAGCTGTGACAGATTCATAACCTGACACATATGGACTCCGTTTCCCCATTGGTAACCAACCATATTTTATTAAATTTTCTAAACAATAACCTGGCCGGAGTTTGCATAAGAGCCTAGGACAAAAGGGGATTTGTTACAGCTTGTACCTCATACTGCAAGATTTTACCACTGCCTCTCTTTAATTTTAGCCAGATGAAGTGACTATAACTCTCCCCAACCATTGCAAAAAATGGAACTTAAAGCAACTCCAATTGCAAAAAAATAAAATAAAAAATGAACTCAAAGCAACTCGGTAAGGAGCAACCGCTAGTAAAGATTTGGAGGGGGAAAGGAGGCGGTGTTGTTTCACTTTTTCACCACGGCTGGTTTTGGGGTGGTTACTCATAGCTTGAAAGCTGCTTCTGCTCATTAAACCGAAGTACTTATCCCGAAAGGCTATAATCGCCTAACATGCTCGAACTGGTTCCCGGATTCTCCCAGGGCACGACTCCAAAGACAACCTAGCCTCACTTCAGAAATATTAAAAGTTAAAACCAGTGAAATCTCCGTAGGGTTGGGCAAATACAGCTGCCGGGGTCGTGTGAACGCAGACGACGCGGTTTTAGGAGGAAAGCTCAACTCCCAAGCATTTATTCAAAAGGATCCCGCTTTACGTTTCAATTCGATACACGGTTTCTTGGATGCGGCGGCCCCAGAACTCCGTGAGCGGGGAAGCCTCTTGGACTAAACTGATATATATATAGGAGGAAGACCCCTCACTCCACACATACTACGTGCACACCCCGTCTCTAGATCGGCCCCGCATGCTGGAACAAGCGTCGGTTCCCACGAGGAACCCCGCACGGGCGCACGTGTCGGGAAGCGCAGGACAAGCGAGCGTCCAGCAACACGTGGCGTCATAACCTTGGAATGCCGTTCCTCCTCGCGAACGGCACCCGCACGCGTTCCCACATCTCTCGCCTCCCCCCCCCCCGCGCCCAGGTTAAGAGTATAACGCATTCTCACGTTAACACGCCTCTGCAAACTTAAACCAGAAGAGGAGAACGCCTCCGGGCAATGTGCAGAGCGCTGCAGGGGCAGGCAAAGCCCCGGGGGCGTTGGGGGATTTTTTTTTTAGGAGGGGGGGGGTCCCCTTACCTTCCAGCACGACCTCCTTGCCCGCCCTCTTGAGCGCCTGCACGGCTTCGTCGTGGGTGGCATCGCGCAAGTCGGCGCCGTTGACGGTCAGGATGGCATCGCCGACGTAGAGCGCCTGGGTCTGGTCGGCCGCCAAGCCCTTGAAGATCTTGCTGATGAGGATGGGCATCTTGTTCTCCTTGCCCCCCTTGATGCTGATGCCCAAGCCGCCCATCTCCTGCTTCAGCACCTTGACGCACCGCTTCTGGTTGGAGACGGCTTCGGGCACTTGCTCGGGCAAGTCGGTCAGTGCCGTCCGAACCCCGGTCGCCGCCGTCGCGGGGCTCCCGCCGCCGCCGCCGCCGTTGTAACTACTCCCCGACGGCGACTCGGGCGAGCCCGCTCCGGGCAAGGGGCAAGCGGCGGCGGCGTTGTTCGCCCTCGACGCCCCACCGCCGGCGCCTCTGCCGCAGAAAGTTCCATTGCCCGCCGCGGCTGCCCCGATGCCGTTGTAAGCGGCGGCGCCTCCGCCCTCCTCGCAGCTCAGCACCAGCGCCTCGCCGCCCAGGGTCACCAGCACCCGGTGCCACCGGTCGCGCACCAAAACTTCCAGCGCGCCGCTCCGCTGCAGCCGGCCGCCGCCTCCGGCCGCCGCTACCGCCATCTTTGGAGCATTTCTTAAAACACCATGTGATTTTAGCGCACGGGCACACACAACACACACACACACAAACACACGCGCGCGCGGCACACACACACACACCACGCCCCGGGACGGGAGTGGTGGGGGGGGAAGAAGTGGGGGAAAGAGGGCGCCCGGAGCGGCGTTGCCCCCTCGGAGAGCTCGGCGGAGACTCGCGAAGGTACCCGGGGCAGCGAGGGGGTGGGTTAGGGGCGGGGCGGGGAAGGAGGGGCGGGGCGGAAGGGTGAGGCGTCCTGCCTTCGGGGCGCTCGCCCGGCCGAACTGGAGTTCGGGGGGGGGGGCGAGGGCCGGACGCTGTCCCGAGGACCGACCCGGGGTGGAGGCGTTTCCCGGAGAACGCCTAGAAGCGTCCCAGCCCCGAAGGGGCTGCTCGGGGCTTCCCAGCAGGTTCTAGCGCTGGCGTGTCCTGGATTCGAATCCAATTCCGTCTAAACAGAAATCTCGGATCACCTTGGGGCCGTTCCCTCCTCTTTCGACGTTTTTTTTTCCAGCCCACCGCTTGGAAACTTGGGAGTGCAGGTAATCCTCGACTTAACAACGCTAAATTTTGTGGCCGTTCAACGTTACCACCTCGTCACTGCCAAAAGGGACTTAATGATCATTTTTCACCCTTAAGACTGTTGCAGCATCTTCCTGGTCACGTGCTCAAAACTCAGCTGCTTGGCAACTGACTGGTTCCATGGTCCAGGGATCATGTGATCCCTTTTTGCGACCTGACAAGCAAACCAGATTCACTTAACAACTGTGTTACTAACTTAATTGCAATGATTCATTTAACAACTATGGTGAGAAAGGTCGTAAAACGGGGTAAAATTCACTGAACAAATTTCTCACTTAGCAACATAAATTTTGGGCTCAATTATGGTCTTAAATTGAGGACTCCCTGTATAGAAGATCAGCATTCCCGTGATTCCAGAGGTTTGGACAAGAATCCCAGAGCCAGCCTGGGACATGGCATACCTGGGACTCAGCCTTCCTTCAAAATGGCTTTGAACTCCCTGGAGGAAGAAGGGTGGGAATAATCAACTTTTGCTACAATTCCATCCTTGAAAAGACTGGATGTTCGCAGGTTGCTTTTGTTTTATTTTGCCTTCTCGTTTCCCTGCACTAGAATCATCCAGTTATTTATTTATTTTCCTGAGCCTTTCCTAAACTAGATCATGGCAACCTGGGTGTATTAGTTTTTCATGTTAAATAACCTATTTCAAAACTGTGTCAGTAGACTGGCAGTAGCATTTAAAACCTCACAGTTCCTAGGCTTCAACTATAGGTTTGTCAGGTTTCAAGTTTAAGTTTTTAATAGGAGATTCCAACCACTTCTTCCCGTTCAGTTAATGTGAGAGAAAAAATAAGAGGGTGCCAGCTATTAGTGGTACTTCATCATCATCATCATAACTTAACTGCGCTACTCGGAACATCTTATATTTTAAGGAGATAGCTGGTTGACACCTAGGATGCTGGTAGCAACCATGTCAACCATCAGTGCCAGCCAATTTGAATGTTCAGTTGACTGAGGTTCATGTTTAATGAATAAAAGATAATAATAGTAGTAGTAGTAGTAGTAGTAGTAGTAGTAGTAGTAATAATAATAATAATAATAATAATAATAATAATAAAGTTGGAAGGGACCTTGGAGGTCATCTAGTCCAACCCCCTGCTCAGGCAGGAAACCCTATACCATTTCAGACAAATGGCTGTCCAGTCTTCTTAAAAACTTCCAGTGTTAGAGCATTCACCACTTCTGGAGGCAGGTTGTTCCACTGGTTAATTGTTCTAACTGTCAGGAAGTTTCTCCTTAGTTCTAGGTTGCTTCTCGCCTTGATTAGATTCCATCCATTGCTTCTTGTCCTGCCTTATTTGGAGAATAGCTCTTCTTTGTGGCAGCCCCTGAGATATTGGAACACAGCTGTCATGTCCCCCCTCGTCCTTCTCTTCATTAGACTAGACATTCCCAATTCCAGCAACCGTTCCTTATATGTTTTAGCCTCCAGTCCCCTAATCATCTTTGTTGCTCTTCTCTGTACTCTTGGCTGCTGGTGCAACAGTTAGAAGAGCTGCTTGAAAGAGTTGTGGTACAGGTAGTCCTCGATGTAAAGCCATTCATTTAGTGACTGTTCAAAGTTACAATGGCACTGAAAAAAGTGACTGACCAGTTTTCACACTTAACAACCATTGCAGCATCTATGGTCACATGATCAAAATTTGGGCGCTTGGCAACTGGCATGTATTTATGGCAGTTGCACAGTTTCGGGGTCATGTGATCAGCATTGGTAACTTGCCAGCTGGTTTCCGGCAAGCAAAGTCAGTGGGGGAAGCCAGCTTTGCTTAACGACGGCATGATTCACTTAACAACTGCAGTGATTGGCTTAACAACTGTCAAAAAGGTAAAATGGGGCACAACTCCACAGCTTAGTGTCTTAGTTAGCAATGGAAATTTTGGGCTCAGTTGTGGTTGTAAGTCGAGGACTAACTATAGTTGGCTGGAAAAAAGTCAACTTGTTAAATTCTTGAGTTGTTTCTGGGCTAGAACCTGTCTATGACATAAATCAGCCATGAGAGATAGCAAAAACCTAAAAAGCAAAGCTGGGCATAGTTCCTGTACAGCAGAGAAATCACCCATATTTCAACCTCCATACAAGTAATCCTTGACTTAAACGACCATAATGCAGCCTGCCAGTTATATGTCCACATTTTGGACAGAGAGGACCGCTGGTTTGAAACAAGGGTCAAGGAGGCCCTTTATGTCAAAATTGAACAGCTTCAACAGAGGGGGAGGGATCCGACATCATCTATCTCCAGTCTACAACACAGACCTTTCAGCAGTTCCAAGAAGGCTCCACACCCATTTGCACTACTCAGGTGACCCTGAGGACACAGATAAACCTCCAGGTGGCCTCAATGACTCTCTAAAAGGATGCAAATGACCAGCCGTCTGCAAGGAGTATAAATCCTTCCATTCCCCACTATCCACTCAGAGCTGAAGAAGCTTCTTGGATGAGAAGTGAAATGTCTTCAAAGAAAAACAAGAAAGCCCAGTTTCCTCGTGAAAAAGCATCTTTGGGATAACTATGACCTGGATGATTGACAATCTCCATAGGCATTTTGCCATGGGATGTTTTTGCTGAAAATTTGGAAGCAAATGCTGGTTTTTAGCAAAAACATGGTAGATTAAGGTGACGTTGATTGCAGGATGCCATATGTGAGAGCCGGTTGCCAAGCATCCAAAATGCAAATTATGTCACCCTGGGGCAGGGCAGCCATTAGAACTTCGGAACTATGTCATAGGTACATTGGGGAGGAGACCATCGTAACTTCAAATGGTTGCTAAGTGGCTGGCCATAAGGACTACCTGTATGTGAAACTGAGTTGCAAGGATAAACTGAGTTATCTGCCCTGCTCAAATACTAAGCAGATAATAAGACCAGTGCATTTAATTGGATAACAGTAATCACTTCGTTTTATCCGGGAAAACAACTTGGAAACTTCTGTTGTTGCCAATTTTCAGCCAGTAAGACTAGGTTGGTAATCCCATTGACTTTTCCCTCATTTACATGAGCTTCCCTAATCGTTTCAGGGCGCTATTCAGATTCCTGACTATTTACTCAGTGATTATTTAAATTGGTTATAGCCACCCGCGTCTGATGGACTTTGGGCCGCAGACAAAAACCCAAACAGTAAAAACAATTTAAAACATAAGACCCACACAGACTGCCCAGATTAAAGTGACCATAAGGGCAACAAGAAACTATAGTAGGGCTCTGCAGAATATATTCTAATTTATTGTAAGCCGCCCAAAGTTACCGTGGGGCAAGATGGGCAGCTAATAATATTTACAAATACAGGTAATCCTTGACGTACGACCACAATTGAGCCCAAAATTTCTATTGCTGAGGGTGCTTTGCCCCATTTTATGACGTTTGTTGCCACAGTTGTTAAGTGAATCGCTGTAGTTCAGTTAGTAACATGGTTGTTAAGTGAATCTGGCTTCCCCACTGACTGTGTCAGAAGGTCGCAAAAAGTGATCACACTTCAGCTGTCATAAATATGAGTCAGTTGCCAAGCATCCAAATTTAGATCACGTGACCATGGGGATGCTGCAATGGCTGTGTGAAAAATGGTCACGAGTGACTTTTTTCAGTTCCATTGTAACTTTGAGCAATCACTAAATAATAATAATAATAATAATAATAATAATAATAATAATAATAATAATAATAATAATAATAAAAAATTAAGTTGGAAGGGACCTTGGAGGTCATCTAGTCCAACCCCTTGCTCAGGCAGGCATCCCTATACCATTTCGGACAAATGGCTGTCCAGTCTCTTCTTAAAAACGTCCAGTGTTGGAGCATTCACCGCTTCTGGAGGCAGGTTGTTCCACTGGTTAATTGTTCTGACTGTCAGGAAGTTTCTCCTTAGTTCTAGGTTGCTTCTCTCTTTGTTTAGTTTCCATCCGTTGCTTCTCGTCCTGCCTTCAGGCGCCTTGGAGAATAGCTTGACTCCCTCTTCTTTGTGGCAGTGATCACACTACAGCTGTCATAAATATGAGTCCGTTGCCAAGCATCTGAATTTAGATCACGTGACCATGGGGATGCTGCAATGGCTGTGTGAAAAATGGTCATGAGTGACTTTTTTCAGTCCCATTGTAACTTTGAGCATTCACTAAATGAATTATTGCAAGTTGAGGACTGCCTCTAAATATTAACTCCAGACCAAAGTCAGGTTTTAAGGGCTTGCCAGAACCCCTGGAGAGAAGCTGCAGTCCATAGCTGGGGGGGGGGGGGGATGGGGAGCCACACAAGAACAGGCCTGCTTCCTCATAGCTACAAGGTGACTTTTAATAGAGGAGACCTGGAGCACATCTGCAGAACATTCTGGTGAAATACACAATTGGAGACAAATGCAGCCTCCGATACCCAGGCCTAATCCCATGCAGGGGATTGTGGGTAATAGCCAGCACC